AGGCGATGAGGGGGTGAGTGGGAGGGGAGAATGGGGTTTCCGATGTAGTGGTGAATTGGGGGCGAGAGAGAGGGGAGGTGGCAGGAGAGTGGGGGGGGAAAGAGAGAAATCGCCGCCCAGGACCTGCCTATGTTCATCCTGTACTCCTCATGATTCGTAAGGTATGAAATTAACCTAAACTTAGACTTGTGGTCATAGGTCAGTTCAGAGCGAGAATTGGGAAATTTACTGGTTGTGGGTAAAATAAGGATTAATCTTCCTCATTTTGGGGCTTATGATTTTCGGTTCAGTTCTGGTCCAGTTCTGAGTTTTCGAATCTTCGTTGTAAAGTTGCACAAGAAGACGCGTTTTTGCAATCCTACTCTTATATAGCGAAAATGTACTTGTCTTCTTTCCTTTTTCCCCTAAAGTATGCATAAATTCGTGGGGATCGGTGTTTCAAATCCAGCCTGACTGTATCTGTGGTGGATGCAGTTGCGAGCACTGAAATGTTTTGAGGAGATTTAATAAAAACATCAGTCTTGTAGCTAAATTTCATGCATTATTAACGTTGAAATTACTTCTTCTTCTGCTGCTGTTTTAGGATGATGCGTTGGTTGCGGCCAGGACGACTGTTTATCGGTTTATCTATTTCGCATTTTGGAACGGAAACGACTGTTAAAGCCCGTGGATCATCGCAACAACGCCCTTCAGTTATTGGCTTTGCTGCCAATATAGGCTCTGCCGATATTGAATTTATGGGTGACTTTGGCTTCCACGATCCCGGCCGAACTGATGTGAGTTTCTGGATGCTGCTTTTTTTTGTAGAACATTGTTGGTTCCGAAGTGAAATGTAAATGAAACTTGAGAAAATTTCTTTTCCTTTCACTTATTCGTTTTGCAAACTAGTTACATGACTATTCAAAAGATGGTGGGCAGGAGGCTGTACTGATGATTCCCGCTCCTACCTGCATGCATAGTTCGGTCTGTGTATACAGCTAAGGGATGAAACACAAACTTCATCATAAAACGTCTT